TTTTATTTTTTAAATGAACATATTTAAAATACCAAAGAATAAAATAAGTTTCAAGGAAATAATCCTCCCAGAATGACTGGCACAATTAGAACATTAGTAAGCCATAAGGGCTAAATTAACGGCTGCTATGCTCATGATTTAGTTCTAACTTCCCCTGCCTGACTGGCGCCACTACTGCAAGGGGCTGGTTGGCGAAAATTTATGGGGGTCAGGTACACCAGTCTGTTATCAGCTTTTGATAAGAGTGCACAATGCTTCTGTCTGAAGTGAAATTTGTGAATAGTTACACAGCTCGATAGTATTTTTTAATTCTGTGTGCTTAACAGCCCATAATGTCAAAGAAGACCAAGAGAACACTGAAGGAAGGACAGATTTTTTAATGAGGATTGGGAATTCCAATATTATCTTGTTTCTGCTAAAGATAAGATGATTTGCTTGCTTTGTGATACTGCAATATTGACATTAAAGAAATTCAATGCTCGTCAGCATTATAACACTCATAAGGACCACAAATATTTTAAATTAGAGGGAGAGGTACAAAAGTTTGTATTGCAGAAATTAAAAGATGAAAAGCAAAAGCAAAGACAATTCTTTCAAGCAGCAGTAAGACCTGGAAATAATGCCACTGAAGCAACTTATAAAATAGCTTATATGTTTGGGGGAAAGGGAATCCATTCAGTGATGTAGAAATTGTGAAAGAATGCACTGTCAAAGTCATAGGATGCTGAGGCTCTGATAACACTTCAGGTAAAACAACTGCCTCTTTCAAGGAGAACCATAAATGATTGGCTGCATGAATTAGCCTTCGATTTAACAGAACAACTTCATGCAATACTTCAAAAGGAAAATATATATTATTCAATCATTTTGGATGAATCAACTGATACTACTGATTTGGCATAGGTTTTATACTTCATTCAGGTCAAAACAGATTGTCTTTGTTACGAACAGTTACTCACTTTGGGCGCTCTTGGGAACAGAACACAGAGAATAGAGGTCTTCAACAACTTTCAAGATAAGTGGTGTTGGACTGAATTTGGAAAATTTACTGAGTATATGTACAGAAGGTTTACTTTGTATGAGAGGAAAAAATGAAGGGTTTATTGCCCAGATAAAAAAAGTATTAACAGATCCAAATGTTCTCATTTCTTTTCATTGTATCTTACATCAGCAAAATCTCTGTGCTAAAGCTACTATTCTAAGTGCTACTTTGCAACAAGTAATAATTATTGTTAACTATATTGGTACAAATGCAACACGGCATGGCCAGTTTTGTAACATGCTGTAGTTGAATGATGAGGTATTCAGTGTGGATTTACCATACCATTCTAAAGTGCATTGGCTATCGCAGGGACAGGTGTTAGTCAAAATTTTATCTCTGCAAGAACAGATAGTTAAATTTTATGAAGAACAGAATTAGCAATGGGAATTATTGAAAGAAGATTTCTATAGGAATGAAGCATTTCTGTGTGATATGTCAAATCAAAACGACTTGAATATTTCTTTGCAAGGTAAAACTAAATCTATATATGATATGTGGCAAAAAATCCAAGCATTTTGAAAAAAGCTATGTTTTTTCAAAACACTACTTCTTCAAAAAAAAAATTTGGATCAGTTAGCAAAGTTCACTGATGAGCAGGATGATATATGCGAATCATTTGAAGAATACGCAGCTGTTATAGACCTACTATTAATAATTGTATAATACAATGAGAGGTTCACTGACTTTGAGAATCATGACATCACACTCAAATTAGCATTTCAGCCTCACCTAGTTGACATCACCAAGGCGCCTAAAGAACTATAGATGGAATTGATTGAGATGTCAGTAGATGACATTTTTTTTTTTTTTTTTTCTGAGACAGAGTCCCACTGTGTGGCCTGGGCTAGAGTGCCGTGGCGTCATCCTAGCTCACAGCAACCTCAAACTCCTGGGCTCAAGCAATCCTACTGCCTCTGCCTCCCAAGTAGCTGGGACTACAGGCATGCGCCACCATGCTCAGCTAATTTTTTCTATATATTTTTAGTTGTCCGATTAATTTCTTTCTATTTTTACTAGAGACGGGGTCTCACTCTTGCTCAGGCTGGTCTCGAACTCCTGAGCTCAAACAATCTGCCCGCCTCGGCCTCCCAAAGTGCTAGGATTACAGGCGTGAGCCACTGCTCCCGGCCAGTAGATGACATTTTAAAGTCATTGTTTGATGCTAAGGAAGATCCAATTGAAATATGAAAAAAATGCAGTAGAATACCCACGCCTTCAGCAACATGCTTGAAAAATGTTTTCTTGCTTTTCAACCACTTGTTGCTGCGAGAATCTCCATTCTCCTACCTAACCCAAATCCAGACACCCTTAAGGTCACAAATGACTGACAGCCATCTAGAGGATCAAATGAAACTGCAGACCTCTATGCTGCAACCAAATATTCAAATGCTTTTCAACAAAAAGCAGACACAACAGTCATTAAAAGGTTAGTTAACTTTAAAATTCACAAATATTTTTCATTTTTCAAAATTATTAAGTACATAGTAGTTAGATTTTTACAAAATAATGTACATTTTTAACTATATCTAATTAAAGTTTCTTGAATGCGGCCTTATTTGATTACAGCTAAATTAATGTGGCCACCCAACATGAAAAGGTTCCCCACCCCTGGCCATGTCCCTACTTACTGCAGGATTTAAAATAGTAACAAACTTTGTCTGTTTTGTTTTGTTATACTCATGTAGATCAACAAAGTGGGTTGTCCTCCATGTCAAGAAATCTTTGAAGCTCAAATAAACTGAAGCAAGAATCCACTAGATCCTCATGCATTTTCTCAGAACTGCCTATGAGAATTCTATGCCAAATACCAAGATCAATTAAAGCTCAATTATGCCATTAAATATTCATTCACACAGTCACACTGACAATAGATTTTATACCTTTTTTTTCTTCTCCTCTCTTTGCAACAATTCCTTTTCTTTCCACAGTTTCTTTTTCTCCTCTTCCTTTTCTCTTCTTCTGGAAGAAATTTCCATTTCCAGTCTTGCTACCTCTTCCTGGTGGGCTCGCCACTGAATAACCTGAAATAAATAGAAAAACTTCATTCCAATAGCTATGTATACACAAGTGATTTCACAGGTCATAATGAGACTAGGTTTTGTATCAAGCAAAGGTCAAATTTTGTCCAAATATATATTTAAATTCTGCATGCACATAAATGTATGATATGTGTGTGCAAGATATGTGTGCAAGATGTATGTTAGTGTGAATAATCATTTTAAATTCATTTAAAATGAATAATCATTTTAAGACTTTTTTTTTGCAAACTTTATTTGTGTTTTATTAAGAAAAGTAAAATATAAGACAGGCAAATTTAATGGACTTAAAAATTCTTTCCAAAGGATGATGAGTCTTCAGTATCTGAAATAAGAAGACGAAGTTGAAATTTATTGCTTTCTCTAGTAAGAGAGCTATGCTGGTGAGGCACAGTCTCTTCTGACAGAGCAGCTGCTGATCTTGCACAGGGTTTAATCATTTTAAGACATTTAAAGGAACATTCTGGGTACTTACATGTGTTATTGGTAGAAGTATACTTGGTACAGCTTTTCTGTTGAGTACTGGACAATATGTATTATAAATATGTATCACAATTTAAAATATGCATAGCCTTTGACCCACAACCCTACTTCTGGAAAAGTATCCAAAGAAGATAATCAACAGGACAAGTGCACAAAAAATGTGCACTGGAATGTGCACTGCAGTGCTTCTTAAAACAGAAACATTGGAAAAAGTCTAAATGCCCAGCAGTAGGAGATGGCTTAAATCAATTACAGTACCTTCATACAGTGACTGCCATTGAAAAACGATGCTATATCTCTGTATTCATTGACATAGGAAATATCCACAACATATTATTAGATGCAAAAAAGCAGATTAAAAACCATATTTATGGTATGATCTCATTAATATAAAATATCTACTATGTATCTATGCACAGAAAGAGATTTGGAGAGGGGCTTACCAAAATAATAATATTGGTTATCTCTGAATAGCATCACTTCATGGGATTTAAAAAATTTATTCTTTAAACCTTCCTGTGCTGGGTGACATTTTTTTGATAAAAATGCATTATCCTTGTAAGCAGGAAACCAATGAAACTAACAAAATAAAAACAAACACTTCCCTGATCCATGTACACATTTGGCTGAGGAAGCAGCCAGCAGTGAAATGCAGAGGTAGGCAAAATTCTTTTTACAAAACGAAAAACTAGCATTCCCAGTTAAATACCTCACACATTACACATTTGATGTAAGTATCATTCATTAATGATAATATATAAAATGAAAATTAAATATATAAAATAATGTTCTACAAATATGATTAAAGTAACTAAATAAGGTTTTTTCAAAAATTTTCATTTTCTAAATGTACGTTTTGCCCTATTTACCAAAATAACCAAGGAAATTCCTACTCCTGGTTTCAAATACAGTTCAGTGTACCCCACTTGCTGCTTATTCTGGCCAACATATTTTTACCTTCTTCTTTGGAACCCCACTCCTAGAATAGTTCATCTGTGCCTTCCGTCCTGACTTGCTTCCAAACCTTTCCTTTCTGTAAATTGTCTTCCATCTGTAACTTGCTACAGTTAAAGTCAAGTGTCCCGTTGAGTGTTGCCAGTGATCTCTCCTTGGATACCCAAAGGACAGTTCTCTGTTCCCCCATGACCTCACGGTGATAGCAGACCCTGGTGACGATCTCTTCTTGCTTGAAACTCCCTCCTTCCCAGTCTGTGACATTGCTCTCCCCTGCCTCTCCACCAATGGATACTACTCTCTTTTTTTCTTCTTCCTGCTACCTGTGCCTACCCTGCACCCCCAACTCTATGTTATCCTTTCTTTGACCTCCAGCCTCTCTCTCTCTCTGTTCATTATTTGATGCTCTCGTCCTTTTCTATGAATTCATCATTTCCATGTGTCTGACTGTAAAATTTACATTATCAATCTATATTTTGCCTTCGGTCTAATCTTATATTAACAAATTCTTAAAGACTTGGCTATTTGTATGTGCACTTAAAATTCAACATTTCCAAAATTAAGCCCAACATCTTTAATTTTGCCACAGCTTCACACCAAGCCCTGTACACCTGCCTCTCCTTTTCAAATATCCTGGTTTGATCTGTGGAACCACAAGTCTCCCTGTAGTTTGGATTTTTTTTTTATTATTATACATATATATCAACATGACTATTCTTTACATTTTACATCTGACTTGGAACATAATATATTTCTTAGGCTCAGATGAGGTTTTATTTATGACAAATCAATTTCCACATCATTGAGCTTGGTTGTAGTTCCCTAGTTCACTCAAAGTCCTTTTGCCAAATGTCTTTAGAATAAAACTAGAAAGTTCACAACAGTGATGTCAGTTGATCAATATAGAATCTAAATAATTTAGCTCTGTTACTACCAATCATCACCCCACTTTAACCTAGCTAATACGTAATCTCTAGGTAGGATTGTGCCTGTGCCCTTTCTGTTAATGCCTTTCCAACTCTTAGCTTCATGGAGTGGCTCAAACTACTCCTCCACTTGGAATGCCCTCAGATTCCCCATACTTTATAAAATGCTCATGGCCCACATCTTCCATGAAATATTCTCCAATCCATGCTCATCTCTCTTTTTCTTATTTCACTTACCATACTATAATTGCTCTCTAATTATTTTGAAAATACTGTTTTGTTTCCTTAGAGCACAGTCTATTCATTTGCCTTCCCTTTTTTTTTTTTTTTTGAGACAGAATCTCACTCTGTTGCCCGGGCTAGAATTCTATGGTGTCAGCCCAGCTCACAGAAACCCCAAACTCCTGGGCTCTAGCAATCCTGCTGCCTCAGCCTCCTGAGTAGCTGGGACTACAGGCATGCACCATCATGCCTGGCTACCTTTTTTTTTTAATATATATTTTTAGTTGTCCAGCTAATTTCTTTCTCTATTTTTAGTAGAGACAGGGTCTTGCTCTTGCTCAAGCTGGTCTCGAACTCCTGAGCTCAAACGATCCACCCGTCTCGGCCTCTCAGAGTGCTAGGATTACAGGCATGAGCCACCATGGCTGGCCTTGCCTTCCCTTTATACCATCTAGCAGAGAACTATATAGTACATCATAGCTGCTCAATAATTAACTTTTATTTAATTCAACAAAATAAATATTTTCAATGAAATCTAATAAATAAGAAAAATGTTAGCATTAGAATATACCATTTTGCAATAATAATGAATTCTAGTTAATGATCATCAATGGAAAATAAAAACTTTACGTTAATAGTTGATGAGAAACTTTATAAAGCATGGATCAGGCTGGTTACAATTGAACACAATGAATAATCTTAGCATCACAGAGAAACAAGCAGACATTTTACCTCCTGGTAGAAGTATATAACATTCCCACGAACTATTCTTGCCAAAAAATAAAATGGAATCCGATCAAATCTCTAGACCAACCTATCAGGTTATAGGAAATTTAATCAACAGAAGAACATATTATGTAATTATATATGGGGATGCAATCACCAAATTAAAATCTGAGAAAGCTTAAAGGACTTTAACAAATTACAAGAAAAAGAAGGAAGGACAACTATGAATTAAAAGAGATTTAAGAAACATATCGACCAAATGCAATACTTAACTACTAACAGATGAAATGACATGATGTCTGGGATTCTCACCATTATCCAAGGGGTATGGGAGAGTAGGAAAGAGTATAGATGAAACAAATTCAACTAAGTTTATAATTGTTGAAGTTAAGGGAAGACAGACTTTTGTACATGTTTAAAATTTTCCACACTAAAAATGTATTAAAAATCAACATAAACCATAAAATGTAATATATACCCAAAGAGATTTATATAGTAAAATACCATAGTCTTAAGGTTCTGAGGCAGTAGGAAGGAAGATTTGTGATGCATTGAACTAGTGAAAAGAAAAATAGCTTACATTCAGCCTTTCTGAGTACTGAGACTATTTCTATAAATTTCAGTGGGAATAAATTTGGGTTTTGGAACTACTCTTTTAATCTGTTGATTTAAGACTAACTTAGGGGAACTATCATTGAATGACCTTCACATATATGATGTCACATGATTTAAAGAAGCAAAAGCATAAACAAAGATCTACAACCGGGGAAGATTTCTGTGCCTAAGGCAAGTATAGAAAAAAAATAACCAGACCAATCAAACTGGGGTAACCAGTCTACCCACAAATTTACCTAAGTTACCCTTCCTTGTCATTTGCAAGTCTAAGTGATGCTGCTTCTGTTCTCCAAAAAAGATGATAAAATTTTGTTGATTTTTTAAAGGGATTGACACAACAGAAAATCCTGAAACAGCTGCAAATTCAACAATCAAAAGCCAATGGTTTATAGATTTCGAATAATATATGAGAAAAAGAAAAGAAATGCTGAATAAAACTAAATTGCTTCCACTTAATATTGGAATCACGGGAATGGCAAAGGACCCATAGAAGTTTACCTGAAGTCAATTATTCACAACATCATTTCTAATTATAACCATACCAAAAAAAAAAAAAAAAGTAAAGGAGAGGAGGTTGTTGGGAGCTGGGAGACTGACAATGAGAAACAGGCCCAGCAGCAACTGGTATCTAAGCAATAGGGTAAAAAAGCTTTTCAGAACGCACAATAGATGAGGTGAGGAATCTGGTGGGAAAAGGGTGCCATTGAAAAAATCCTTATCCGATGGGTCCTCACAGAGAGAGCCAAGGGAATCAGATGGCTCCCATGTGTAGACAATGACAACCAATTAAGGTATTTTCAAGATGCCTAAGAATAAGAAAGCTGGCAGGTGGGCAAAGAAATCAATATTAGCACAATAGACTAAAGCACAGAAGGCTTCTCAGCAAACGGTGAGCAAAAAGAATAGCACAGAAGAACATTTTAGCAGTTTTATTTTAAAGGGTTTGCTAATTATGTAGCTTTAAACAGAGTATGTGAACATAACAACATAACAATAATAACCATGAAATAACATCACCACACTGGCAGTCAGGAGCACATTATAAGCATTATTTAGATT